CCAAATGCAGAAATACTAGAAAGCAGCAAGACTTGTATCTCATCTCTGTGCCTGGGTTTCTAGGTTTAAGTTCTTCTAACCACTGTGTCTGGAGTCGATACAATAACATAACATATAGCATAAAATCATATAACATAATCTATCCAAACCAAATTTAAAGCATATTTTCAAAAGAATATGAAATGTAAGGAGAAGTTCCAGTGCTGCAAAGGAAAGGGACATCAGCTGGAAAATCCCATTATAATGTTTTATGATTATAAGTTTTGTTTTAATACGAAATATTAATTTAGAATAGGATTCCAAGGCAAATGAGGGGCAAATGAACAAGACTGAAGATGATGTAGTTCTACTTTACCCATGCAATGGAAATACTATTAAGCTAAAAATGTATAAATTGAAAATATGATGGGTTAAAAAGGACAGAAGCATCACCAGCCCTTTTAAAAATCCCAGATACCCACCACAGTTTATCTTTCGAATAGTACAAAATTACACAAGCAAAAGGAAAATGAAGCTCCAGAGGAAAAAGACAAGTCAGACAGATAGAGACTAAGGATGGACCCTTAACTTCTTGGCTTGTGGAGAACAATACACTCTTTAAAAAAGATTCATGCAGAAACAATAGTGCTGAAAACACAACACTCAGCAAATACAGAATTCTTGAATAGCAAAAGACATTTAAATAAGAATATATTGAGAAGAGATGGAGGAGGCACAGGGGAAAAATATCACAGTAGTTGGGCAGGAAATGATTTCAAAATATATGCAGAAGGGCTACAGGAGTTGACTCGCTTTATTTGTGGAGAATAAAAATCCTTTTATAAGAAGAAATACGGGCTTTCTAGGCTGTCAATGAAACTGCAAATGAAATAAATACATTAGGAATAAGACGCTCAGTGCAAGTCATTGTTTAAAAGACAAACATGGTAATTATTCTTGAAGGATAGGAGAACTGAAACAAAGCATACATTTTCTTCGCTGATCTTCAAAATACAGTTTGTTTTTTTTTATTCTTCTCAATTCTGTTTACAAAGAAGCAGATTCAGCTGGGGAAAAAAAATCAGACTCACAATCAGACACAGAAACAGCAAAAACTTCTGCCACCTCATTAAATTCTGCTCTTAGTAGCTCTTACCAGATACATTTTGTGCACAAGTAGATCCTCAGCTATATGGCAATTCAATAATAATCTGGTAAATATTTACAAAGTTGTAAGCTCCAAAGAATAAACTAGAAGCACTCCAAATGCTCAGTGCCATGGAAATGCAGTTGCTGCCGAAACTCCAGCCTGAATTGGTGATTTATTTGACCTGAATACTGCATTAACTGGAGTTCTTACAATTACTTTCCTACGCTGTTAAAAAAAAAGTGTCAGGGCTTTAAAATGTTCACAGTGAAACCACACAGGGTTTTTACAGCTCAAGGCTCCTCTGCAAGAAGGAGCTGGGGAAGGAATGAATTCTCACCTCTGTTTCTGATACTGTTTATCTGGAGATAAGTACTAAAAATAACAAGAGGAAAGTTGATCTGACACATAATATAATCTTCTCACCTTCCAAGTCTGTACTAAGGATTTCACCAAATCTTATCAAAGCTCCTGTTTATGGAAGAAACTAATAACTTGACGAACAGGAGAATAAAATCTCCATATAGTTTTTTTTGGGGGGGAAACATCATTCTAAGGAAGGGATCTCTGAGCATGCTCTCCCTTCGCTGACAGAAGCCCCAGCCCAGGCTAACATGGAAGCTCCCAACAGGTTATTACAATATTATCTTCTGCTCATTCTTCTCTAAGAACAGAAGCACGTTAAAGGACTGACACCTTTCTGAGAACGAAGATCTGTTGGTGCAGTGTTACATTACTGGATCGCCTAAATCCAACCAAAAGAGATTCCATTTTCACACCTTCAAAGCCACAGGTGGTGGACATAACAAAATCTGCACACAGCAGAGATGGAGCCACAGCATAACCTCAGCAGCATGCAGATCATTTAAGCCACCTCCCTTTTACTCAAAACCAGATCAATGAACCACACCTGTATAATATCGGACAAAATCCTGTCCAAGCCCTCTTACCTATGGCAGCTGCTTCCTGGGCACATCCAGAACCAGAGGCCCTAAACTCCCCTTCAGTTTTTACTTCCCCTGTGACAGACTTTACACTTTCCACAAGTTCTTTATCTATTAGTTGACTTAAAGGCACTAAAAAAGTTCCAGTTTACAAAGCACAGTTCTCCACTGCTTTAAACTAATAAGCTGCTGATTTGATTGCAGCTCAGACTGGGACTTTTTTCAGTCTCGATTGCCATCAGAAGCTGAGCCATATATCAGCTTGCATCAGTGTATGTTCAGGTTATTCAGGTTACCTTTTACAGTAAAGCAAAACAATTGTAGTGACATATTCATTTCAGTTTAAAGGTATGTTTCTTTTTGAGTTTAGATACGTTACTCAAAAACAATTTACTTTGTAGCCACAAAACCCACTTCTAAACTGAAAAAATCATGCTCACATGCAGTTTTGCTTTTAATTAGTTAATTAAACAAAGCAGGTTGGTTGCCAGGCCCTACTGCCTGTAAAATTATTTATGAAATCCCAGTCTGCATGTTACAAAGTAATCGACTACATGATCAAAGCAGCTTTGTGAGGTAATGGTCTTGTTTTTTACTGCATAGTCTCACTTGCATAAGAAGGTGATTAATTTATTTACAACAGGTCTCTCTCTAAGGTCGACAGTTTTCTTACAATTGGAGAGATGTAAGTGGGAAGGAGATGCCGGGGATGGTTAGGAGCTTTAGTGAGTGGCTTTGTGGCAGTACCAACGGCACAGGGGGCAGCATTTGGCTCTTGTTGCTTCAGCAGAAGACAATAAAGCTCAACAATTTCTTCATTTGCTGGACTGGAAAGGGTTTGGCAGAAGATGAAGATTTCTCGCTAGACTATACAGTTCAATTATTTTGACAAATCAGTATCTGTGTGGTCATCATGATGTTAATAACAGAGCAAATACAGAAGTGATGTAAATGATTAATGTAATAAAACAACTTCAAATGTGTTGTGGTATACATGTAGAACAGCAGGTAAGAAGGGTGTTTTTGCACTACCAAAAAGTATATTTGAGAAACAGTTCTTCAGAGATTTCCCAAGAACTTTATGCTTGTTGATCTTTTTTTTCGCCAGAAAAAACAGTGGAAAGGCCAAATCAAGAAGAAATAACAAACTGCCAGTGAAGTTTTGCTTTGTAAGAATGCTTCCTCTGACTTTATCGCTAAAGGATGTTAACTCACCTTCTTCATTTCTGCTCAAGCATGCCAGTGAGTTTCTGTACTAACTATAAGTGATCGGAATCAAATGTAGCAAAGGGAGATCTGAATTAATTACCCCTATCTAACATCAAGTCACTCTGACTGCTGGTAGTGCAAATGAATATATATAAAGCAAAAAACTTCAAATGCTACTTCTAATACATGGGCAGCATTCATTCTTTTTGACAAATGTGCCTAGGAATATTGTCAACTTTACCAAAGAGTTTACCTTTATATAGTATCTGATAAGTATTCTCCGCAGATCAAACACTTGTAGCATGGTTGCAGCATTGTTGTCAATGATGCTGTATCCTTCCAGGATGTACTGGGTTCGCGTTATTTCCCATGTCAGCCATCGGAGGTTAAAGGCTGCATTACATGATAACAAGTGAGGGAAGTGCCCGGGCTTACAGCAGCAGCAGCCTTCGTTGTCTTCATCTCCTTCTGTTATAGCTTCCACTTCTCTCTGCTGGCAATATGTCCCTTGGCGGTAAGAAAAAGAGAGTATGCTGCCAGTTACTGGGGGAGGAGGAAACAAAGAACTTCTTCCAAGCTTAAAAAGTAAAGACTGAAGGCTCTACACGCTTAGCAAAAATCTAACAGAAAGAGCTAAGGCAACAAATTAGATGAGCCAATTGATCCACATGTAGTATAAATAAAGAACTGTACATTATTTATTTACTATCACATGTACAAGCCAAAAGGGCCTGATCTAACATTCTAGGCATTTGGTTCTGAGCTGTGCCAAACTACAGACCACAGCTCCTGCCTTAATAAAAGCTCACCAGGAAGCAACGCTAAAGAGTCTCAGTTCACCATGCACATAAAGCAAATTAATCCAAGTCTCAGTCTGCTTCTCCAAATAACATACGAGATGCAAACAAAGATTTCACAGTGGGTGAGAGCACTTACAAAACCTGGGTTTTAGCAAACTACCTTGGAAAGCAGGTTCCAAAAATAACATCGAATGGGTTGTACTCTTTCCAAGCTACTCCATATCAAACATCTCTAATGAATGGCACTAGTGACAGTACACCATGAGGACAGAACAGCTTTCTAATTAGCCTATTATACAGGCTAATTTACTCTAATTTACTCTATCAAAATAGAGTAAAACTTCCTGAAAAAGAGAAGTTAACTCAAAAAGAAGCCATGAGGCAGATGCAGAAACAATAATATATCTGCTCTGCAGACTCTGCATTTCTGGCCTGTGCCGTGTACACTAGAAGGTCAAGTTGAGCCCTTCAGGATTTGGAATCTATGAAAATGTTATTTCTACGCCATGTAGGGCACTACAAACCTAAGTCAAGGTGGACACCCATGTGCTCCCTGCACTGTTCTCAAAACATACGAGTTACATGTTCTTGATGCACGGATCTTTTTAAAATTTACTCTCTGTGGGCTGTTGAACTTTCTCTCCACTGAATCTGTACATAAACCGCCTTTCAAGGCCAACTCCTGTGATGCAGGTTACACATATGTCTCACATGGGCCTTCTGCCAAAGGTTCAGTACCACCCCACAAGACAGCTGGTTCTGTCAGCTTCCAAACATAGGAGAAGAAGGTGCTAGACACTGCGCTGCAGCTCAACAGCTGTGAACTCACCCACCAGGACCAACAGACCTGTTCCATTGTGTGAGCAATTTGGCTGTTCATCACCTGAATGTTGGACCAGGAAAGAACACAGTGTCAGGTCCAATCTCCCACAGTTTGCCAGCATCCCAAAAGTGAGCCTGGAGAAAGGCAGCATCCCAAAGGCCTTTCATGACAGTCACTGTACCCTCAACTGACTGTCCCAGTCCCTTCACAACTGTCTGGTCCTAAGTACCTTTAGTTTATACCAATAGAAGTAGCACCCAGAATATTCCTCTCTCCACACTAAGAAAAACCTTTCAACAAGTAACAAAATATGTTAAAGTATTGGTTATCATCTTCTCTTTTTACGCACACCTTCTAATATGTATCCAGCAAGAAAAACCATGCAAGGAAAAAATGAAAAATAGGAAAAGCTGAAGGAAATGTGTGAGAAAAAACAGGATTGTAGCCCTAAGAGACAGGTGGAAAAAAGATCCAGTATATTTCAGTGATCTCCATTCAGTTTTCTGTAAGTGAAAACTTACACTGTGTACCCAGTGTTGTTCACACACTGACATGTATTCCTCCTTGTACTTCAGGATATATACAATATGACAAATTATTAAATGTCTTCAAGTAACCCAAATATAAACATCTTTCCTTCCAAGACTGCTACAAAGTACAAAACGTGATGATCAAGCTGACATTTCCAGTTGGACTGGATGTGAACTGGACTGCTTCTGCTTCATATTTCACAGATTTCTACATGAATTAACACGTACTGCTCAACAGCAAAAGAGCAGCAACTGCTCTGGGTCAGTGGGTGCTTTTCTGAAGTCAAGTCAAATGGCATCATACTCAGAGTGAAGTGGGGAAAGGCATATTCATTTGTACATTGCTTGAAAGGAGTAAAATGACTACTCCATGTTGGTGCTGCTACTATTGCTGTTATGCTTTATTTTTTTAAAGCTAAAAGGTTTCTCAATATTAAACTGAGTTTGAGATACATCGTCATCCCAGGTGCTAAATTAAGTATTACCAAATATTTATAAGCGATGGAAAACGCAAGCCTAATAAACAACTGCCACCGATGTCCTTACAACTAAGGGAACTAAAGATGGCTTTCCTCAGTCTATGTAACTATTCTTAAATACGTATTTTTTAACTCTTGGTACGGAAATAGCACATTTCATTCCTATGGAATGCTGGCTGTATTTCTATGTGCTCTCTGTATTATCTCTATTAATAAATACCAAATACTATTGCTGCAGATTCTGTAATTACTAGTTTTCTCTAAATCATATATTTGGTAAAATACAGGGCCTAAAGAGGCTGGCAAGGCAAGTAATAGGCAAATTCAAGAGATCCTCAATGTTTGCGGGAAGCTGTCATCACATGAATGACAAACATGAGAGGAAGATGCCAGAACAGTTATTTGCATTCTCTACTAATCCAACAGGTAAAAACATCTCTAACTCATCATTTCTAGGTAATTTTAATCAACTAAAGTTAAAATTATACTACAGTGGATGCAATCAATGTTGAACTTGGGGAGCGACAGACATTCTAACCAAGATTTGTGTTATTACAAAACCTCTGTGAACCAACCAGAGAAGCTCAAGTGGTCATTTTGCAGATTTATTCCAAAGAATGAAATTAAGGCTGTGCTCTTCAACATCTGGCAAACATGTGCTTGCTTAACAAAAGCTGTTTGATGGACTTGGGTACTCTCACCCTGGGGATCTGGTGTCTTGATTGCTTGCAAAGCCTCTAGGGTCCCCTGTTAAGTTTAAAGGTGTAAGCTGAGCCATGGCCAGTGCTCTGATACCAGAGCCCTATTCCTATCATCATGTTGCTGATTAGTATTTCCAAAAAACACCCACTAAAAAGACTCAAGTCTGCACAGACAAAATGCAGGCTTGATGCTCAAGTACATGTTGGTTCCCCTGCAATTCTTGCAGTCAGTTTTAGAAAGACTGTCAGTGATTTTCTCTCATCTTTAGTTGAGCTTACTTTAATCCGTAATGCACTGGCCGGACTTCAACGCCACAGATTTGCATGTTCCTGAGAAACTTCATTTTACCAAAGCCTGCATCAATCCTTTTTGGTTCACTACTTTAGCCACTGGTACTGCAGAGACTAAGAGCATTTATGCATTGAGCCAAAAGGGACAAGTCACAGTAAATGAAGTTAAGTGTTTGTGTGCATCTTTTACAGAAGGGTGACCCTAAATTTCTGCATAGATGTTATAAGCTGATGATTAAAATGTCAATTTTTAGATTGCTTCTTAAAAAATTATCAAGCTCAAGCAACTCTGAGAGAATTATTCATAAAACCAAAGAGCAGGGAGCAGAACGTGCACTTCAGTTCGGCAATGTAATTAGGTGTAGTAACATTAAATATTAAAATACACGAAAATGTTTTCACTGGTAATTAGTCATTTTAAAATCTGAGGCAAAACATTTCTTTTTTTTTTTTTTACATCTCTCTGCAGTAGAAGGAAAATAACCTTTCCTGCTTTACTCAAGCTTAGGCATTCACTGTGACTTTTGCTAGCACAGATAAGACCGATTCATTTGTAAGATATCTAACACTGGATGGTTGCCAGAAATCCATCAGTGCAAAAACCTGTGCCAGCTGAACAAAACAAGGTCAACCTATGTGAGCTCAGGAGAAAACCAGGGTGAGAACTCGGAGCTCTTTCTATTTTCCTGACACATCAGGATTTGAGGACGGGCTTGTGCTCTGCCAGAATGATCTGACCTAAATGGAAATCAGAAAATTGAAACTGAAGACTGTAATCTTGCTTCCAGAGGATATATAAAATACACCTAAATTAATGACCACCCAGCCTTCTAGAATTTAAGGCTGAAATCAAGGTGTGCTTTTGAACTTAATTTTGAAAACTCGGTGAGTGAAAAGCATTTTTCAGTTCTGAAGGGCCAGAAGGAAAATCCTGTATCACAATCACATACTTCTAGAAGCAGGTTTTATCTCCATAAAACACTTCAGTTTAACAACACATCCAAACTGGGGACTAATTATTGTGGCTGCAGGTAGCGATAGCTTGGGCACTAAGGACTGCTGACACATAAATATATACCTACTGTGCAAATGTACATAGAAAGGGCTCGTAGGGCTCATGCACTAAACCCACATCACAGTTGTTAAGAAGATCACAAACTGCTCTCCTGCATTAAGCACTTCAAGCTTTAAACTCTGTGACCCAACAACCAGTGTTGGCCTAGGAGATTTAACTTGGTGTTGAGTCTGAGAGACAGAGCTGGATATGGAGATGGGAGCCATGAAGGTGGACTGAAGCCCAGGGTAACTCCTTTTGTAAGCCATGCAGAGGTCTCTTCACTGACAACTCCACAAAAATGCCTGGTTGCTCACCATTTGTTTAGCAGTATCATGCACAGGAATATTTAAAAATAAATGCATTACAGTGGAAATATCTGACCCTGTTCCACCAAGCTCTGCTGCAAATCTTAGTATTCTCAAATTCTGATGGATAAGGCTCCTTCTTATATGACACATTTCTTTTCTCCTCAGGACAGCAGCTTAATAAGCAGCAAGCCATCACCCAGAAGAAGCACAAAGAGCATATTTACAACCATTGAAAGGCCATTCTCTCCTGAAACAAGCATCAGAAATAGCTCTAGAAACACAGAGAAACAAATACTTCAAAAAGCAGTGAACTGTGATCTCAAATGGAAACTCATGAACCCCAGAACTGGACACATTCAGGTTGTTTCAAAGATAAATCTCAGGACGTAAAAACCAGTATCAATTTGTCAAACATCAAAGCTGTTAGTTATAAAACTTTGGTTTGGTTTTCAGCTGCTTCAGGTGCTTGTGTGCCTGAAAAATAGTCTGGTTTTCAAACCAGATCAGTTACTCTAATG